GGGGGATGTGAGTGCGGCTCGCGGTGGGTGCTGGGTCACGTCCGCAGCCCGGCCGCCCCAGCGGCCCCGCAGCGGGTCCCTGTTCCCCACCCTGCCCAGCCCCGGACCCCCTCCAGCTCGGGACCTGGCGAGGTGGAAAGAAGCCCCCAGGCTCCCAAAATGAGGGGTCTGGGGTTTTGGGAGGGCCCAGAGTGGGGACGTAGCGCTGGGGAGGGGATGTGGTGGGAAGGCCACCAGTGCAGAAGGACACATTGTCATGGCCACGGGCAGGGGACAAGCTGAGGTGGTCCTGACCCCCCTGCCTGTCCCCTGGCAGAGCAAAGGGACACCGAGCAGCCCCAGAGGGGTCCCACCTGCAGGTGAGGGGCCAGCAGGCCCCCTGTGCCCCCCCAGAGCAGCAGAGCCTCGGCACAGGACGGGAGGTGAAGACGGATTATGAAAGTGTTTCTTTGCTTTGCTTTTGAGAAAGGAGAACTTCAAAGGGGCCATTTATCACCAGACAAAGAGAGTCGCGAGTTATTTGCAAAGTGTAGGGGAGAAACATTAATTATCAGCGTGACAGACAAACGCTGCTGCTGGGTGTCCTCCTGCCCACCCTGCGCCCTGTCCCAGCAGGTCCTGGTGGCTCCTGTCCCCTCCACGGGCCAGTCCCAGCTCCTCTCTTGTCTCCTCCACCTGTGCCAGGTGGACCTGAGGGCTCTGGGCGAGGGCAGCGGGGTGATGGATGTCCCCAGGGGACGCATGTCCCCAGCATGGCTGGAGAGGCAGCATGGGGGTTCCCCATTGTGCTGACACTGCTGCCAGCACAGCCCAGCCAGTGCCAGCCCTGCCCGAGTGCTCCCGTGGGCTGAGACCAGACGTGGTGGACACCAGACTGGGCATAAATCCATCCCTTCAATCCATCCCTTCAATCCATCCCTTCAATCCATTCCTGAGCCCCAGGGCATCTCTTCCTGGGTGATGCCCAGGCTCGTGTTTGTGTGCTGGGAGAAGGGGGCACACAGGGGGAAGAGGAGTCGTTTCCACAGCACAGCATCCCTCCATAGCTCGGTGACAGCTGGGACGTGTCCCTTGCTGGGAGATGAGTGGGTTGTGCAGCACAGCCCGTGCTGGGGTGTCCATAGGGTCAGTGGGGTCAGGGCTCAGCCCAGAGACGAGGCACCCTAGGGCTGAGCCTCTCTCCCAGGAGCTCTGCAGAGGGAGAGCGAGGCTGCGTCCATGATCTGGGAGGGAGAAGACAAGCAAAAAAGGTAATTTCCATTCTAAGCAAGCGTGCCACAGACCTGGCTTCCCGGGAGGGTGGCAGTGGCACCTCGGCGGTGCCGGGGCCGTGGGTGCCGTGGGTGCCGGGGTGGGGGGCAGGAGGGTCCCGTGGCCCTGCCGAGCGAGCCCCGCGCGGACGGGCAGCTCTGCCTTTCATGTCTGACCCCTCCCGAAACCACAGCTTCCCTTCGCCCCGCGCGGGGATCAGCCGCGGGTCATATTTAATAAAGGTGGGGACGGGAGGAGGCTCAAAACATTACATCACCTCGTGTGGGGGAGGCGCGGGCAGGCCGGGAATGCGAAAATCTCAGCGCAAGTGGGGGCAGAGGAGAAAAAAATCCCCGTGAGGGGGTTTAATGGCCTGCTTTGGTGGGAACTCTTGCCCACTGCCCGCGAGGTCAGAGCGCTCAGGCGTTAAATGAAACAAACTGCGAGGGAAAAGCGAGAGGCAGACACGAAACGCGCCAACGTCCGTGGCAGAAATCCCCCGGCGCCGTGCCCGCCCCGGTGGCTCGCGGGACAAGTCCCACGGGTGTCCCGTGGCTCCTGTGTCCCCGCTCTGCCCAGTGCCGGGGCCACGAGGCCGGCCTGGCCAGCACGCGGGTGCCCTGGCTCCTCTGCCAGGCCGTGCCAGGCCAAAGTCCCCGTGCCGCGAGCCGTGCCCGGCGCTGACCCGCGGTGACGGCTGGCACCCACGGTGGGAGCTGCAGCCGGCCCAGGCAAGCCCTGCTGGCCCCTCTGAGGTGCTGGAGGATGTGGCCGTGGGTCAGGGCATGGCCCGGTCGCAGCGGGATGGTTTTTCCCCTCTGAGGTGCTGGAGGATGTGGCCGTGGGTCAGGGCATGGCCCGGTCGCAGCGGGATGGTTTTTCCCTCGTGCGGACAGTGTGAAGGGATGGGCTGCTGGTCTGGTGCCTGGAGCCTCGCAGATGATGGGAGAGGAAGGTGAGGCCGTTCCAGCCCTGGCAGCTGCCGCCAACGTGGGCTGGCTGCGAAGCCGGGTGGCTTCAGAGGGTTGAGGGGATGCTCAGATGAAAAAACCCTCCCGGGGCAGCCGCCCTGCATTCCCAGCCGCAGTCACCTCCCGCGGAAAGCTCGGGCTGATGCTCCCGCCAGGCTGGGCTGGGAAACTATGTGCTCCCAGCCCCCGGGGCACCCTCCGGCCCCCCGAGCCGTAATGACCACGCTCTTCTGCTGAGAGGAGTTAATGAGCTGTGCCGGACAACGATGGGAAAGGGCCGCTCGCACCGAGGCTCCCGACAGCGCTCGGAGGAGCGGGGCGTGGAAGAAGGGGGAAGAGCAGTGGGCTGAGAGAGATGGACCAGAAAACGATATCCACTTCATTAGCCAGGTGGTTCCAAACGTGTGGAAAGAGGACAAGGTCCGGGTCACCCACTGTGACAGAACACGATTATCATGCGATGCCATGCAGCCTGCGCAAAGAGCAAGTCAAAGCTCAGCAGCCCACTTGAAAGGGCCAGGAGACCTTCTGGGAACGGGAGCCAGGCTGTTCCCAGGCCGTGCCGGGGGGTCCGGGCGCTCAGCCCGGCTCCTGCTCCGCCCTGGCACCTGCAGAGCCTCCCCCAGACCGCCCTGGGCAGGAGCACGGAGGGGCAGCGCCGGGAGCGCAGCCGGGGGCTGTGGGACACCTCCTGGGGCACCGAGTGGCTGCCCGGGCTGGCACAGTCCCTCCAGACCCACGGCTGGGTGGTTTGGTGCCTCTTCCATCACCTGGGATCTGGGGAATTTTGGGGTGATCAGGGACCTGCTGTGGTGTGAGGGATGAGGGCACCTGTGGGTGCAGGGAGCTGGTGGGGCAGGTGCCACTCACCCTCAGAGCTGGGAGAGCTGGCACAGGGGAACACTCACAGTAATCTGCTCCCTACAGACCTTGGGGCAGGGCACAGCAGAGCTGGGGAGCCCCTCACCCTCACCCCGAGGGTTCACATGGTGCCAGATGGGCAGGAGGGAGCTGCTGTCCCTCCCTGTGCAGCCCCAGCACGTGGGACCAGAGCTGGGAATTTGGGCTGAGGGCTCCAAGCTGGGAGCCAGGAAGGGGCTTTTTGGGATTTTTCAGTGCTGTCTTCTCTAGGTTGTGCTCAGGCTGCCGTGTGCCCACAACAAACCCTGTGCGGCCATCGTGTGCTCAGCCACACACAGAGAGGTTTTCTGCTCCCTGTGGGTGCCTGATCCCCAGCATCCCACTCTGCCTGTGGCTCTGCCCCGTCCCCCAAAGGGCAGGGGGCTCTGAGGGTGCTGTGCTGCCATCCTGGCCCCGAGCTGCTCCTGTTCCATGGAGCAGGAATGGTTTTATGGACAGTTCAGCCTGTTCAGCCTGTGCAGCTTCCAACACCTGCTGCTGCCTGTGGGCACAGGCTGTTCCTTCCCTTCCCTTCCCTTCCCTTCCCTTCCCTTCCCTTCCCTTCCCTTCCCTTCCCTTCCCTTCCC